CTCTGCTCTGGGTCTCAAAGGAGGAGCTGCTCCCCCTCTCTCATCTGGAGAGCATCTGGGGCACACCATTCCATCTCCAGCTGCATTTTCCTTCTCAGTCCCAGTGGGAATCCTCTCCMGGTGTTTGACAGAGAGCAGGCTCAGTCAGACAGGGCAGAAAGAACCCCTGAGATCCTCAGGTGGAGTCTGTACTCCATCCCTACCTCACAGCCCTCCCAGCACCAGAATGTGACACAGCGCTCGTGTATTTGGGATTTTTGTCACCAAGAAGGGTCAGGAGCCACGTGGCAGGAGCTGGGTGGGAGCCCATCCCAGCACAAACATTTGTGCAAAATCCCAAATGAAGTTCAGCCCTATGAACTGCTGGTRTGATGAGAGAGCAGCTTGCACAAGATTTCCTGTCGAAATAACCTTTCCTGCTACAGAACCTTTTCACACAAAACCCACAAGGAAAAAAAAAAAAAACCTCTTAAAGGTTCTCCTCGGGGGAGAATTCATGCTCAGGGCTGGTGAGAGGATGAGCCGAGCTGCCAAAGCCCTCACTGGAGCTGCTGGTGGGGGAGAGGGTGAGAATTCCCAAAGATGGGCAGAGAATTCCACCRGGCATGAGATTCAGCAGGGTTTATCTGCCAACACCCACCACRCACAGCAGAGCAGCTCTGGTGAGCTCTGAGTTCCTCCCATCGAGCAGGAAAATCTGCTGTGCCGTGGGCAGGGCCTGGCGATGCCAAAAATTGCTGTGAGCGCGTGGGAGAGAGCATCTATTTTTCCCCTCTGAATCAGGAAAGGGCACAGCCCAGTCGTGTCCAACTGCAGGACAAGTGCTCAATCCCCTTTAGGGAGGACAAAAACCCTCTCAAGTTGCATTTCAAGCTTTTCCACACTCTTCTAGGACGGTTCCAGCAGGTGGAGGCTGTCGTGACGGCAGAGTTGGGATTTAGGTCAGTCCTTGTGCTTGCTCCCACTTCTTCATGCCCCCACAGTCACGGCGGGCACWGATCTGGGCTCTGCCATCATTTTTAGAACAGTTTTGCACTAATCACAGCAGTGGGAGGATGAAACACAGCTCTGAAACTCTCAAGCCTTTGGGGGCAGGAGTTATATCCCAAACAGGGGATTTGGACCCATTATATCCCTGTTTGGAAACACTGGGGGCTCTCTGGGGAGGTGAGGGTGTCTCTCTGGGTGACACTGAGCACAATTCTGGCTCACATTTTGTCACTGTCTGTGCCTGGACCAGGGCAGGGTGTTGGGTGTAAGGGGAACCTGCTCAGCTCCTCCTCACYGCCAGCAGAGAATAAACACCTCAAAGTTTAGGTGCCTGAATAATTTTTAACAACTCACAGACCCACAGTGCCCTCCTGCAGGTCAGCCCAAACCCACAGAAAACACCTGAGAAAAATTCATTGCTTCCAGATGCAGGAAAAAGCCACTTTAATTTTTAATTTTAGTTTTAATATTTAAATTTTATTTGATTTTAATAATATTTAAACCATCGTGAGCTTCAGGAGATGGTAACACGTGTTGTGGAGACTCAGCCAAAAATGCAGTGATTTGGGACTGCTGTAGGGTTTGAATCCTGTTCACCAAAACCATGGATTTGCCATGAGCCYGGTGCTCTAGGTCACTATTAAAATTAAAAATTAAAGTTATTCCAGGCGTGGTTTAGCAGACTCAGAAGGAGCAGATGGACCCTGCTCCTGAAATCCAGAAATACAAAAGAGAGTCGAAAAGTTTAAATAGAAGAAGACAAGACAAAAAAAAAGATGTTACCAAAACAACACAACTAAGCAGCCTTAACTATCCATGAAAAAAAAAATAGAAAAAAAACACAATTAAAAAATTAGAAAAAAACCTAAAAAATTAGAAAAAAACAAAATAAAGCAAATACCAAAAACAAAGCAAAATCACAAAAATTAACAACACCACAGGTTTTACAACACACCAATCATATACTAATAAATAAAAACCCCCTGCTAATTAACCAATAGTTACCATTTATACAAAAAACTTGATATAATTAACCAATAAATAGTTACCATTTATACAAAAAACTTGATATAATTAACCAATAAATAGTTACCATTTATACAAAAAACTTAATATACACCTATTACTAAATAAATAAAAAAACTCAACCCCATAATAAAGTAATATATCTATATCTATATCTATATCTATATCTATATCTATATCTATATATCTTTTACTCATTATTTGTAATGAGTATTTATATATCTTTTACATTATTTGTATCCATCCATTACATTATCCATCTCTACCCTGACAAGCAGTGAGGTGTGGGCATGGATCTGGAAAGCTCCACTGCACCCAAAATATTKTTTTAAAGTTTAATTTTCATTAAACATTTTTTTAAATCCCATTTTAAACTGCATCCCTTTGTGTAAATTATTTTCGGGTTTTTTTTCCCCAAATTGTGATGGACTCCGCATTTTTGGACAGGACAGTAAAAATGCAAACACACAGTGACTGTGCCATATGGGTGCACACGTGGCAGGGACTTGGTGAAATTCTCGTGGCCCAAATAGTGAATCTGCAAGTAACAGATCTGGTTTGGAGGGCTATCAGCTCAAAAATGGAGCAGTTTGGTTTCCAAACTGCAAATTAAGGTCAATGAAATGGAACTGTGGCGCCAGGCAATCCCTCTTCAGTGACTGAGTCATCTCTTTCTTTTCTGAAGCAAATGAACAACAAAAAATGAGGTTTTAAAACAGAAATCAGAAAGGCCTCGTATCAGTTTTAAAAGGATTTCCACTCCAAAATGCTTGAAAGACAAAGTGAGATCCGTGCAGACTCATAATTACTGGAAAGCAGCCGTTCAGGTCAGCATTGTATTGGTTTTAAGGGAAAATTAATAAAAGCATTTTTGTTAACTGAAAATGTAATTAGGCCTCCCTTATCTGCTGCACGTAATTTTTTTTTTGTGCTTCTAAATCTCTGCTTATTGCCCTGCAAGGCAGAGGGAGTTGACAGAGCTCACAGCTGGTTTTTACAGATTTCACATTTTTGGAAGTTGGATGGTTCACTAATGACACAGTTTCACCACACAGCACAGCAAACACAGACACARAAATTGGAGAWWTMATAATAATAATAATRMWRATAATAATAATAATAATAATAATAATAATAATAATAATAATAATAATAATAATAATARTARTARTAAYGCAGCAAATCCCAGGATCTCCAGTTATTTGCATTCCAGAGCCACACAGAGTTGTGCCTGTGCTGAACTTTTTGTGGCCACATTTCCTTATTCAAAATGCAGAAGTTCAGATCTCTCCTATAAAAAAGAGACTCACAAAAATCACTGAAGAAAAATAAATCCTGGTCCACAGACAGGCACGTTCCTTAGCACTAAACCAGKGCATGATCCTGATCTCAGAGCCTCACAAGGAAAATGGGCTTGAATTGAGAAATCTTCTGCAACCACACCCAAATAAATATTTTCTTCTCCCACATCTGTTGATGTTATTGAAGGTGACACGCAAAACAGCACGGAGGGCACAATCCCAAATTCATCCAGTGGCTTTGGGAATTCAGGCTTCACTCTGAGTAGGCAAGGAGAAAATAATGGGTAATAAATGCAGAGCTAATAAAAAACATCAGCAAATCATTGAAAAATGCCCATCAGAAAGCAAACCTGGGCATTTGGATCACTTGGAAGGCTGAGGAGGGTGCTGGTGGCTTTTTGAGGTTCCTCATTTGGCTTCTAGGATGAACTTTTTAATTTTCTGGTCATGATTGAATCCTGATTTATCTKGCACAGTATTGAGCTGTGGAGCTGMGCAWTCTCACAGCAGACCCACAGAAAAAGCTTCGTGTTTCTAGTGGGCTTTGCATGTCAAGATGATGCCTGAGAGGACACCAGACAGCAGCAGGGTGTTTGCATGTGTGCAGCCACTAAAATTAGCTGGTTTGGTTTTCCATTTCATCCCTGAGATAGGCTGAGACCAACCCACCCATCTGGCTAAACTCAGYCTTGGAAACAATCTATCCCTGCAGGCATTTTTGTCCCTTGCTCCTCGGAGCAGGAGGTCACAGCCATCACATCTCACAGTGTGAACGCCCTGGATGTGCAGGAGAACAATTTCTCACTGGTAACACCCTCAGGAAAACTGGAATTTATGGCATTTGGAGGGTGACAGGGACAAGGATGACGACTCCAAGTGCACGCACTCACACACACCTTGAAGGCTGAAGGGCTCCCAGAAATTCAGTTCCCTTCATCCAGAAGGGTCCARGGATCACTCAAGATCAAAACAGTCACTCTCACAGGGGGTGGTGCTGGTGCTGAGGCTGCTCAAACCCAGGAAATTTCCTTGGGCAGTGTCCCAGCCCCAAGGGAAGAGCTTCCCACCATGGACATCCTGCTCCRAGAAAAACACACAARAAAGGGGCTGTGAAAAWGGGKTCAGGTGGAYATCCATGGTGATGGTCCAGAAACTTCTCTGGYCTGWGGCCTCTCATCGCCTCCATGCTTCCCATCATGGACATCCTGCTCTGAGAAAAACACACAAAAAAGGGSCTGTGAAAAAGGGATCAGGTGGACGTTCATGGTGATGGTCCAGAACCTTCTGAGGTTTCTCATCACCTGGGCACCCTTAGTTTTGACCAAGGGGCCCTGCCCTCCTCATCCACCCCACAAAGGCAGCGTTGGGGTCATGGTGCACACAGCCATCGAGTGAGGCTGTGARGAGCACAAGGGAAAGGGGACAAAAGGCTGGGAGCCACCACGGAGTGACCAGGGCATGGTGTGGGGTGGGGTCCMTCTGACAGAGAGTGCAGATCAGCCACAGAGCATCCCAGACAYTGAATTTCAGTGTTTGCTCAGAATTACAGAAGTCACAGTGGATATTTCTGCTACTGAGAATATTCTTTGGTAGGTTAAGATGGGTTTTTCATGCAGTTGTTCAACAAAGCCTTTTCTCTCCTGTCTGTCTGCAGCCTGAGCTAAAGACGTGGCCGAGTTTGCTGTCAGCATGGATAACAGCAGCGGTCCTTTCCTCCTGCCTGTCCCGCTCCTGCTGCAGAACTCGAGCAGCCCCAAAGGCTCCAGCCCTGCTGCTGGCTCCGAGCTGGCAGAGCCCCCGGGACCCGGCTGGGGCAGGAACCTCAGCGTGGCCCAGGCCGGGCTGAGGCCGGGGGAAATCGCCGCTGCCGGCGTGCTCTGGGCAGCGCTCTGGCTGATCTCCGTGCTGGGCAACTTGCTGGTGTGCCTGGTGATCCACAGGAGCAGGAGGACACAGTCCACCACCAACTACTTTGTGGTGTCGATGGCGTGCGCGGACCTGCTGAGCAGCGTGGGCAGCGCGCCCCTGGTGCTGCTGCAGCTGAGCTGGGGCCGCTGGGTGCTGGGCAGCGGGGTGTGCCGGCTGGTGCGCTACCTGCACTACCTCACGCCCGGCGTGCAGATCTACGTGCTCTTCTCCATAGGGGTGGATCGATTCTACACCATCGTCTACCCCCTGAGCTTCAAAGTGTCCAGRGGAAAAGCCAAAAAAATGATTTTGGCCTCCTGGATCTGCGGGGCTCTCTTTGCGTCACCGGCCTGTTTCCTCTACGGCTCCAGCAGTGAACACCACTGCAACTTCTTTCTCCCCGATTCTTGGCAAGGAGCTGCCTACGGTATCACCCACCTCTTGCTGGTGTTTTTGATTCCAGCCCTCCTCATTATCCTTTTTTACCAGAAAGTCATTAAATACATTTGGAGAATAGGCACAGACGGAATGACCGTCAGGAGAACGACGAATATTGTTCCAAGAACAAAAGTGAAAACCATCAAGATGTTCCTGATGTTAAACTCGATATTCTTCCTGTCCTGGCTCCCTTTCTTCACCACACAGTTGTGGCACCCACAGGAAACAGACTACAGAAAGAGCTCYTTGCTTTTCCTGGCTGTCACMTGGATCTCSTTCAGCTCCTCAGCCTCCAAACCAACCCTCTACTCCATCTACAACGCAAACTTCAGGAGAGGGATGAAAGAGACTTTTTGCATGTCTGCCATGAAATGCTACAGAAGCAAYGCGTACACCATCACCACCAGTTCCAGGATAGCAAAAAAAAACCATGTTGGTATTGCAGATATTCCAGCTACGGCCAAAAGTGTCACCAAAGACTCCACCTAYGACGCTTTTAACAGAGAAGCCAAGGAAAGAAAGCTTGCCTGGCCTATTCCATCCAAYCCCCCAAATACCTTTGTCTAATGAGCATCACTGCTTTGAAAAGTTACTCTGTACCCCCAGAAGAAGGAGCTTTCTCTCCCTTTTGAACCAATGTACAGTTAGGTATTTTTAACACAGCTTTTAGGAAGGGAATAAAGAGATGTTTTATTTTATTAAATGCCTTGGGTTTGATGCATTGGTTTCTATTTCATTTCAGTTCCCACATTCTGCTCTGGGAACTGCTCTCCCAGAATCACAGGCAATGCTCATCTGCAAAATAAGAGTTTCCTTACACTCTCTATCTGCAGGGAGAAAGGGAAAGAAAGAAAGAATTGCTGCTTGTTTTAACCCCTGTGGGACCATTGGGGAGAGTCAGGAGCTTCTCTGCACCCTCTGAATGCAAATTTCTTCACCCAAAATCATCCATACATCCTAAAWGAGAGACCTTTTTTCTTTTTTCCCTTTTTTTTTTCCTTTTTCCCAGTTATCAATCTCACCAATAAGCATTGCACTGAGCCTGTGTGTGCAGAACATTGACACATTTTCTCAGCTCCCATAGCATTGCCCAGAAGTACACACATTCTCAGTTAGTTCTTTCCTCAGCTTTTCCATTTCTTGCACAGAATTGGTTCCAGACCAGCCTSTCCTCAGAGCAGAATTATCTTTTTTCTTCTGCTTTCGGAGCAAACGTGGCATATTTGGGTTCCTGTTCATGCCTGGAGCCTGAACGTGCTGCAGAAATGGAATTGAACAGAACAAGAGCAGCAGGTGTAATTTACTCCAGGGTGTAAAAAACAGGGCTGAGCATCTCCCTGTGCCATCAGCAGGGAGCAGAAGCACTCCTCGGCTGAGTAGCATCCTCTGAGGAGAATCTCTGCTCTAAGCAGGGCAGTGGGGAATCCCTTTTGTTGAGAAATAATCCCACATGTCTTGTAAAAAACTTCCTTCCTCCTCCTCTGCGACGTGAAGTGGGGTTGGAAGAACCCTTACTGACCACAGGAACACTTCCAGGCTGTTTCACAAATTCAGAAATCCCCATGAAATAAGGATCTAGTATTTCTCATTAAAGCCACTAGCAAAAAATTCCCATGAATTAGAAGATAAGAGGACCTTGAAAGTGAGACAAGACCAGTATTTTCTCTGTGGTTCATATTCTGGGCTGGTTGTTTCTCCCTGAAACATCACCATATTCTTTTCTTTGTCATTTAATTGACAGTAAAATCAGATCTTGGATAAGCAGGCCAGGTCAACTCTGCAACATTATTTTAAACTCTGGGTTGGAGATCAAAWCACAATTGTTGTTCTTTTGGTTATAACTTCATTAAAGAGGAGAAACTGAATAGAATGAGGAATGAGAGCCACCTCCTGTTAGTCTGAGTCCAGAGGCACCCAGGACCTTGTTCATTCAAGTCCATTGTGTTTCCCCACCTTTCAGAAGGTTTTTAACCACAGAAAAGTGGCCAGGAAAAGTCCAGGACTGCCACAACACCACAGCCAGGGACACAAAGTCCCCAGGCTGAGAGAGCTGATAGCTCTGCACTGACATCAGGGGCATAACCCTGCACCCATGGGTGAAGTCTGGAGCCTGGGGTTCTTCAACCACCTTTGCACAGCAGTAAAATCCCAATCACACCTGCAGCAGAGTGAGCACAGCTCTGCTTGTCATGGCTCCTCTAAACCCAAACTTGCCATGGCTCCTCTAAACCCAAACTTGCCATGGTTTCTTTTAGCCCAAACTTGCCATGGCTCCCCTTAACTCAAATTTGCCGTGGCTTCTTTTAACCCAAACTTGCCATGGTTTCTTTTAACCTAAACTTGCCATGGCTCCTCTAAACCCAAACTTGCCATGGCTCCTCTAAACCCAAACTTGCCATGGTTTCTTTTAGCCCAAACTTGCCATGGCTCCCCTTAACTCAAATTTGCCGTGGCTTCTTTTAACCCAAACTTGCCATGGTTTCTTTTAACCTAAATTTGCCATGGCTCCTCTTAACCCAAATTTGCCATGGCTTCTTTTAACCCAAGCTTGTAAAATCACAAGAGCAAGGAGAAATCCTTCTCATTCTTTCCATCATTTCAGGACAAGTGATGGATGGGCTCRGTACCTCTTGGTTTGCCAAGGCCCCAGAGGCCCCAGAGACAGCAGGAAGATCATGGATTATCTAAGCAAGAAATGGAAAATTCTGTAGGATTCGCCTGATCAATACAGACACAAAATAAACAGAATAAACTCCTGGTTTAGAAATACATCTCAACCTGACCTGCAAAGGAGAAGTTCTGGGAGAAAGCACTCCCGGGTCTCTTGCCCATCCACCTTTTAGTTTTAAATGTTTCCTGTGTAAGAACACGATACAGTGCCAACCATTCAAGTTTTTTTTCCATTAAGCACACACACATTAAGTGGAAATTCCATCACTGCCGTTTATTTTTGGTATTAAGTGACTTGCTCTCGGGAATTCCTATTACAAATTGTCAAATTACCTCCCTCCCTTTTTATTTCAGTAGAAAGATGGATTTTTAGTTAAGTATATCCTAAAAGTTTCCAGTTGAGGGGTTGGGACTAGTGAGAAGCAGCGACTCACATCATTGTACCTATTTTTCTACCAATCCCACGGAGGTGATACCAAAGTGGCCAACACCCATAATTGCATTTAAGGATTTCCATATGCCTATTTAAGAATCCCCAGAGCTTTTTCAGTCTCATCAACTCAACYCATTTAAAATCAGGTTGAACTGACATTGATTTAGGAGTTGGTTTTTCAGGGCGTTGAACACRCGCCATCAATTTCAACTGGAATTCTGAGTTCTTAGCCTTTCTCAGTATCAGATCCTTCCTTTTTAAAAGAACAAAAAGCAGATTTGAAGTTTATTAAAGCCAGACCTATATGCTCAAAGGAAGGGTTATTAACTCCCTAAGTGATTCTGTAAGTTAATATGTCTATTAGTTGGCTCTTTTCAGCTTAGCAAGTGTTGTAGAAYAGAATTATAAATTAGAGCAGCTTTATTTGACCTGGCTTCTAGTAAAACACAGCACACCTACTGGAAGATTGTTGTATAAATGTCACCTTCTGATGAGCAGTCTGGACTGAAACACTGAGTTTTTTTTCCATTGCTCCTAACGCACACAAAGTCTTTCATTTGTTTCATGAAGCTGGTGTCTGGATAAAATTCAGAAGTGACAAAGACAGCAGTAATTCTTTTGTGTGCAGCATCTCAACCATTGGACGCCAGCTCCCCGTTTGGTCCCACATTTGCAGGGGAATAGAAAAAAGGATTACATCACCAAATMATTTCGTTTGTTCCTGTCTCATGCCTGGCCAGACACAAGCTTTTTGTTTGYCTGCACCAGTAAAAGCAGGAGATGCTTTTGTTTACGTGGTTTGARGGAGGAGGGGCTGATCAAGGACTTGAATTTTTTTGTGGCCATGTAGAATGAGGCAGCAGAGGCCACCCATGGATTGATGWAATCACACACCTCATTTCCAAAGGCACTGGAGCACTCCTCTCCAGCCCTGGAGATTACTGTCTYCTCTGTTCACAGAGTCCCTCCCCATATTGATCCAAACACAGGGAGGAAAATGATTACAAAACACCCGGAGTTAGCAAGATTTCAGATTAGTTCCCAGTTAGCTGTAAATGCAGCAGGAATAGCCCTGAGTGCCTCATTAACTCACTGCTGGGAGCTGATCTCCCTTCTGGCTTTTTGCAGATTCTGAAACAGCTCTTGCCACGTTACTGACTTGGTCCTTCACGCTAATTCAGGGCATCTTTCTCAGAATTTTTGTTCTTGGGGTCATATGGGTTTTTTTTCTGTAGGAAGTGGGATGCTGGGGATGTGGCCCTCAGGAGAACTGCATCTTCAGAGATCACTTCCCACATGTTGGTCATGCAAACTRCCAGAAGCTCCTGTCCAGGTAACAAACCATCAGAGACTTGTCTTTAAGAGAAACACTTCAGCTCAATTTCTTTTTGTTTCAAAGGCTGCAAAGGAGTTTTGCAGGGGGTCCAGGTTTCCAAATGTCACCTACACAGCACAAACAATTGCTGCCAAGCACTGGGAGCCACACATGGTTCTTTCCTGTAGCTTGATTCCTTACTAGCTAAGCTCTCCCTGGGCCTTGCTACAGTAAAATTGTGTCCTCAAAGGCTCTCAGGGCTCCTTGGAARGTTCCTGACAACAGAAAGAAAATGGGAGTGCAGCAGTGCTAATACTCCAYTCTTAACACCTCCATGTGGATTTTCAAATCAAGCATGGCAGAAAAATGGCATAAAGGGTAGAAATTAGCACTTGGAAGCATTCTTGTCAATCTAATTACCTTGAAATTGCTGCTTTATAAAATTCTCACTAATATCCAAAACCAGGTTTTTGCTAATAAAAGCACCTGTATGCTTCAAGTTCAGCATACAKGTGCTTAGAATGGAATTCTGAAAACAATTGTGCTGTGCACTGAAACACAGCACTTCACTATTTTCAGTGCTTTTGACTCATCCTGAATTGATATAATGTTAAACACACCCAATTAGCTCCATAAAAAGAAGGCAACATTCAGTCTAGCAAAGTCATTCATTGTAATATTTATTCTATGAAACAATGCTGAAAACWTAAGATTAAAAAACGTTCCATGCATTTCATAAAATACAGAGAAAGACATTGTCATAAACAAAACAGAATAAGCAAGCCAAACCCCCTCTGAAAATCCTGAGAGCTCCACTCTCCACRTTGCATCATATGAATACAAAAAGCACATCCAGGAGAAAGAGCAGTCTGAGGAAAGCGGCAGGTTACCTGTCAATAACTGGGATGAATAAATCAGCCCCCAAGAGTTTTGCCATCACCTTTCTTATCACAARACCAAACTGATGCAACTTGCTTTCCTTCCTATCAGTTCCAAGCATTACCTTTGGCTGGGAAACTGAGGCAGCACAGCAGAATTCCCATTAAGTTGCTGTCCAGAAAGGTATTAGGGCCCAAAATGTGGGTATAGAAAGATGTCAGGGCCCAGTGGGTGAGAGGGAATGGCTGCTGCTYCTCTGCTGGAAGCAGGATCCATCAGAGGCCTTGACTGTCTCACCAGGAATACAGTGGGTGGAAAATGCACCTGGTGGAAGAAGTGTGGGCAGAAGCATGAACTATTTCCAGTACCTCTCTTTGAGAATCCCARTCACACAGAAGACACACTGCATTCCAGGCAGATGCCACAAGGAACACCTTTTTTTTAGGTTACAAATGACATTGCTACAAACCTCCTTCCTGAAAGCTTTAGTCACAGCACCTTCTCGACCTCCAGCACTGGGTTTGGCTGTAGCAAAGCTGTTACAAGATCCTTCTCTTGCTTTTCTTTTACAGAACCTCCCAGACTCCCACAACAGTTAACAACCACCACATAACCACCAAACCCAAAGCCAGCATAATTCTGGGCTCTGATGCACAAACAGCCCCACTCTCGTGCTGGGAAGGCCCCAAAGCTGCCATAGCTGTGTCTGGGGAGGGCAGTGCAGCAAAAGGAAGAATAAGGCTCCACTTACACAAACACCCAGTGCCCCAAAAGCCCCACTCCACRAAGCCTCAGGAACACCATAATCCAAGAATGTCATGTGGGGAGGAGCAAAGAGAAGAGAGCAGCCTGGGATCCTTCCTTCCCCCTGCACCTGGGGATGCCGTGATTCCTCAGAACAAGGTTCTTCCTTCTGCGAGCTCCAGAGCCATCTCTGCTGCACTGTGGAAGGTTCTGCATCAGCCTCCTGTGAATGATGAACCAGGGGAGAAGATTGCTACGGTTAAAAAGGTGATTTTCATGCTGGTTCTTAAAAACATAAAGCTAGAAACTCCTGTTTTTAAAAAATGTTCAGTGAGGTGTAATTTAGCCYGCCACATTAATTATTACAAAATTAGAAGTAAGATATAGCTTTGCCCTACACCTTCACTCTCTCCCTTCTCCCTTCACTCTCTCCCACACGACTTTATATCATAAGATCTTTTCACCTTCCAGCTCCCAGAAGAACTCTATTCCATTCCCTGCACAAAGCATAAAGGAGTCAGAAAGGAGACTGCATGGGAAATCCCAAGTCCAGCACTCCTCTGTTGGAGTGCTTGCAGCTAGAATACTGTTTTCTTCATGGGGCTTTTAAAATTCAATTATGTTTCATGTGCTCCATTTACCTTGCAGTAAGAAAACAGAAAATACTGTAAAACATTAAGGTCTTTACAGGTTTTGGTGAAAATAACTGCCTGGCTTCCTCTGTAGTGTAATTTCTGTGTTGTCCATGCAAACATTACACAGAGCCTTTGCACCACCCACTGAGCTCTTTGCTTCAACTATTTGTGCACAAAAGCACATCCTTATGTTTCTTCCCACACCACAGCCATCCTCCTACACCACAAAAGATGTAACAAAACAGGAATTCAATCATAGGCTGGATACTTACAGGGATTGCTGCTGTTTGCTTCTGTCTTGGCAGCCTTGGCAAGTTTGGTGGAGTTCTGCTGTGCTTTGCCTTGCTCCTCTCCAGTCAGCAGGGCTTTTATTTCCGAGGGGATTTTCCCTTGGTCCATGGCCATGCACCACTGCTTGTACTGAAATATGCACACACATTAGGCATTAGCAAACTGCCAGGATCACATCAGCAGACAAAACAGGGCTGTGATCTTCACCTTCTGGAATATTCACTTAAGGTCTGAATTTCCTGAGCTGAAGCCTCTTAGGAAACTGCAGAGCACTAATGAGCTGAGCTCATGGCTGCATACCTGGCCTCAGAACAGCCTCTTTCAGTCAATAAACTGCTGCTCACAGGCAGCACTGGACAGAATACTGTAATTATTAAACAACATGGAACACTCTGTGCAATTTCTCGCTGCTGGCATGCGAGAATTCCGTTCCAGTTCATGGCCTATTAAAAACAAATATTTCACATGACTCTGGGGATGATGGGCTATTAAGAGGTCCTTTCCCACTGCGCAAGGCACAGTTGAAGCACATGTGCTTTATTTCTGCTTCCCTCATCTTACATTCTTCATTGCCAAACCCTGAAGCACACCAAAAAACACACCAAAAAAACGTGGACTGGTTTTTCACCTGATCCTAAACCTATTGCCTTGCAGTGATTAGCCCTGCCCATTCATCAACTCCAAAGCCAGGTCAAGGCAGTGTCCTCAGCACTGGTGACATTTCAGTGGCCTCACTGAGAGCTGTGTCTGTATTTCCAGATAAATKCTCTTTGGTTAATGCTGCTCATTTGGCCAAGACCCCCATCTAAACACATGCTGGAACCACCTACACAGGGAGCAAGAATCCACTGAAAGCCACACCGTGGATATATGTTTCACCCTTGATATTTTAACACCTCTTTCCACAATCTACCTCTGTCAAAGGTTTTTCAAATCCAAACATTTTGAAGACAACAAACTCAAATGTGAAAGCACTTTGCTTGCTTCCAGCTCGGAACCAGCAGAGAACTTGTGACATGAATTCATATYCTACACCCCAAAGCAGGCAAACAGCTGGAAGCATCTGATGTTTTGGTACCTCCTGGCCAGCCAAATGTCAGTCACTGTGGTCTCCAGAACAAATGTCCACGAGGGCAGGTCCCAGATAATACTGAGGGTCAGTAAATGATTAAATGATAGCTCCTTACCATTTCAAGCTCCTCTCTGAGAGCACAGATGGCTCTCTCTCTGCTGGAAACCAACTCYTCCAGGTACTGGTACCTCAGTTTCTTCCTGGCTCTGCACTCTCTTGCACTCTGACGACTTCTTTCAAGCTTTGCCTTCAAGTCTATTTTGGCYGGTTTGCGACCTCGTTTGCCTGGTTTCTTTACCTTGCCTCCAACCACCTGGAAAGGAAGGGCACAATAAAGATCCTGTTCTGCAAAGGTAATGCTGGAACCATGGGATTGTAACTACTAAGAGTCCCAAGCATAAAATCTTGCATATACATTCTGGAGCTGTGAAGTTCTCAGGACTCTCTGCAGTGGCTCCATTTCTCTCTCATACTGGGGAACCCAGAACTGAACACTCTTTCAGATATTTAGGAGGGTATCTGGGTATTAGGAGGCATAGTCAGCTTGTAGTGGAATTGGTTTCATCACCAAAAGCCCATAGTACTTGCAAGGTCTGGAAATACTATATTATGGAGTTTAACACTATAATTTAGAAAAAAATATATTTGTTTCTATCGATACAATTCAAAACTTAGTTTTGCTGCAGTCAACAGTGCCTACTCTAAATTCAGAATTATCCACTAGCTATCTGAGCTTCCTTGGGCCAGATTTCTTTCAAAGGAATCTTGAGGAGTTTTCCTAAACAGGAATCTCAGTTACACACACTGTCTCTGCTGCCTTTGCCCCAGTGGTACATCATCACTCTGGCCTTGTCCAGATTCAAAAATTCACACAACCTGTCAGTGTTCAACTCGCCCTGTTCCTAATTCAGACCCTTTGCAGAAATGCAATTCCCTGGTYTCTTGCCCTATGGAATGCAGATTTTGCAATCACCTTCCCCTCATCTTTGTGGTTCCTTTCTCACAGCTCTGAAAGCATCTCCTGCTGCAAATAAATTAAAATTAAAAAAAAAAATTAAGTTTCCTCTGTGTTTACTCCGTGCTTCCCCACCCAAATATTTTACTCTTAATATGGGAGCATGGCACAAGAAAGTGTTAAATACAGTGTGAAGCTTCGTTCACTGGTCAGTGTGCAGTATCACCCTGTAAGCATTACATCAGCCACACACCCCAGCTCCCCTCTGAAGCCAGGACTGCTCTTTGTTTGCATTCTGACCACACTGTTTGACTGGAGGGGGTGTGGAGAAATACACCTAACACACACACCTGCACGCAAGAATTTCACTGCCGCCTCAGTATTTCATCATCCTGTCCACAGACTAGACTTTTTCTAATAGGCAGTGYTCAAAATATCAGAGTTCATCATAAAAAAAAAAGACACTTTTACTGTGAAAAGCTACAAAAGAAGTCATTTTGAACATTCAAAGAAGTCACTTGTTCTGCAAACTTAGCAAGCTGCAATAAAAACAATAACATAGTGAACTGGTGTGCCAGAATGAAGAGGAAAAAAAAAGGATTATACAATTGAGCCTATTCTTTCTCTGGAAAGTGAGTCAACAATCACATGCCAACATAATCCTACCCTCTCTGTATTGTCCCTCCTAATTTATTCAGGAGTAGCTGCCTACCATAAGCACATGAAGGAACAGAAAGTACTTAATGGACATCATGATAATGAAACAAACAATACATTCAGAAGAGGAAAGGGAAAAAAACAAAGCTCTTCTACACTTGAATGCTGAATACAGTTTGAGTAATGCTTTACTCCATCAAGGTGATCCCCTKAAGATTTTCTAGCTTAGAAAATGTAGTGTAATGCAAAGTAAAATAAAACCAACCAGATGTGGCCAAGGCAGGAGCTCCAAAGAAGGGAAAGTGTCCTCTTTCAGGCATGACAAGGTCTGTCCTTTCATGGAAACACTCCTGGCTATGGTTTGAGCTATTTGTGGGTGTGTAAGGGAAAGAGTTCAGTGATGTACCCGTTCCTTGGCAATTAATTCCTGTTAGAACASCACTTGTGCATCTCTGAAGTATTTAGAGGAAAAATTAGAACCTCTGCTGTAGTGGTTTCTATGGGTGAAATGCCTTGGTTAGTTTACACATAACWTATGTATTTATTATATGTATTTTTTTTATACATTGGGAAGCAGAGAATAGGAGCTAGGGTAAGAAGTATTTTTCATTTTCTTGTTAGTTGATAACTCTTGTTAGTAAATATTAAAATACAGTTTTATGCATCTTTCTGCAATCYTCTGTATTAATTACTAAGGTTTTTATAGGGGACCCTGACAATACAATACTTTGGGTAATTAACTTTTCAATTTATGGCTAGCAATGAGAAATAAAAAGTTTTTAACATAAAATCACTTTTGTTATTCCAGTGAAGTCAAAAACAACTGAAAAAGCCAAACTACCACCAAAAAAAATTGGGCTGCTCTCTTTTATTATACATATTCTTGCCTTGCACAGAAAAGATATTATGTTGTTATATTTTTGGATCCAGCAACTGCTGATCTCTTGCTCCAGAGTTCTCAGTGTTCTGGAGAAATCTTCCACCCAGGATCATGTCCAAACATAAAGCATTCTCATTGCTGCCTACTTGGAGATATGAACCCTTAACAGCTTTGGTTATAATTTGATATGAGCAATTTCAGATCATTAAATGCTCTAAGAATCTGCTGCTCAGCAGTGCTCAGATGACACTTATGCTCCTATTTGCAAGGAGTGGGTAAAATGGAGAATCTTCAACCCTCCAAAGCAGCAAGAACAGTTTTATTTCATTGTGCAGTGGGCTGGAAGGATACACATGGTGGAGTGAGCTGCTCATCCCTGAGCCTAACACAGACAGGTCTAGCAAAGTGCCTGGTTTAAGTTGGTGGGAACTGAGAGAATGTGCAGGGCACAGTGTGGACAATTCCTTGTGTGAGGCTGTGAGTCCTTCCTGGGGGGAAAAGAGGGCTGTCACTTGTGCAGTGGCAAGGTGACATCTGGGTGACTGCTGCCCTGAACATCAGCACTGACCCATAACACTGTGAAAACTGGGTATTTAATCCTGGCTCATGATTTAAAAAAAAAAAAAATATCTTGCATTGCCACCAAGACAGTCTTCTTTATGCATCTGTGCTGAACATGACATTCTTAGTACACTGAACACCTTGAATGATGAAAGTTTTAGGATTAATTTCTATTTATATATCTATAGTTAGTTCTATTTATATATCTATAGTTAGTTGTGTGCTCACTAAATAGAATCCTACGTTTTTGGATGCATTTGGTCACTACACTACCAACACAATTTAGCTGATTTGGGGTTTTGCAGGGAAATTCCTTTTACAGGCCAAGCCTCTCAGCAAGAGGAAAGCATGACTCAGTGGAATTTTTAGGAGATTTCAAGGACAAGCTGGCTCCAGCTGTAACCACAGTTGGCATAAAATGAGGTATAAATAGTGCTTGCCTCATCCTGACACAGCAACCTGCAATGGGAAGAGCCCTCCCAARGGAAATGGCATCTCTTGAACAGTCACCAAACCCTCAGGGTGACCTGCAACCTCATGAATATAAAAACTCTGCTTGGAGTGAAGATAGGAAGAAGAGTGGATATYCCACTCTGTTGTTTTTTGGGTTTTTTCCTATTCAATTTAATATCAGTTAAAAAAAATATATAAACAAAAAGGAATCTTACTGACTGTGTAAAAAGATTTATTTAGTAAATGTGTCAAAAAGTGTTTCAGGAAAAAAAAAAAAGGCAGACTAGCAGGATACCACATGACACAATTGTAGATCAAAAATTATTTTAAAATTAAAAACCTGGAAGTTGGGTAGTACAAATAACCTAAGTCTGATAGAGAAGAACACAAGAAATAAAAATCAGAAAATACCATATATGCCTCCAGAACTAAATCTGCTGGATCTTCCAAACTACTGCCCCAATTGCACAAACTTTCATGCAGTTCTCAGAGTTGTGAGACATCAGGGATGCAGATTTCCCCCAATCTCCTTCACAGCTTTCAGACAAAGCCTTAATTAATCTGTTAAAACAGRTCACCATAAGCTTTTCATGTATTTCAAATGCATTCTGTGGATTGTGGATTACCAAATCATTGATGGCCTCTAAGTTTTTTAATTTCCTAAGAGATTTTATCAAGCATTTTCCCCCTTTGATAAGGCAGATCAGCGCAGGCTATGTCATTTTGTCACAGTCAAATTCAAGCGGTGTCTCCAGCACAACCCCCAGGACAAAGCAAAAACAGCACTCCAGTGAGCTGAAATACCCAAAAWCAGGGGAGAGTCTGAGCTGAAAAATGCTGCACGGGCAGCTGCCCCTGCAGGCCCTGCTCTAGGGGCAAATAAAGATGAATTCCTTGTGCATCTTCTCACGTTTGGTTCTGTTTAAGTGAAGCCCTGCACCTTCAGGGAGGCCACTGYGCTGCTCCCGAGAGACAATGCTGGGAGAATCCAAGCTCCAGCACCCAGTAAACTCAATCTGCTGCCCTTTTACCTCACTATTTGTGTACAGATGCTATTTATCGAATAAATTCAGGTGCTAATGGCAGCATGAGCCACTGCACCCCACCAGCGCTTGTCCCCAGCCTCTGGCCCATGCCTGRACATTTAGGGAACAGTCAGAAGCAGCACCAAAGCGCTGCAAACAAGAACGAAGGGGGCAATCCCTCCTTCCTGGCGGCTGCAGGGAGCAGAGCCCTTCCAGAGCAGATTTCAGAACGCTCCGTGCACCAAGAGCCTCCCCGGCTGCCCTGGGCTGCAGCTCCCGCGTGGGCCCCGCAGCTCCCCTACCTTGCTGTCATCCATGTGTGCCGCCAGCCCCGGTGCCCCTCGCCGCGGCCGCCGCTCGGGAAGCAGGAGGAGCCGCTGTTCGGGAAGCAGGAGGAGCCGCCCGCCCGCAGCTCCGGCGGACAGCGGCACTCACAGACCCTCAGGGCCGCCAGCGGCCGCCGCCATCGCCCTGCGCCATGTTTGTTTACAGCCGAAGGGCGCGGTGGCGCCGGCAGAGCGGTGCACGCCGGGAACTGTAGTCTTGTTCGCCTCTGGCCGCTGCGCTGGTGAGGTCAATAAAAACTACAACTCCCAGCAGGCCCAGCGGGGGAGCGGCGCCGCCATTGCTCCTCGCCTCGCAGGCCGGGCGAACTCCATTTCCCAGGAGGCTGCGGGCGCCCCCCCCCCCAAAAAAAAAAAAACCCTGAATTTATTGTTTTTTGGGGGGATTTTTTGGGGTTTTTTTTTTGGTTTTTCTTTTGGTTGTGTTTTTGGTTTTTTTTTCCTCTAATGCTCGCGCCATTCCACTTCAAGGCTGCTCGGCTGCTATCCCAATGGTTCTGTAACGATGACCAGMGGCTGGTGGGGCCAGGGCTGCTGGCTCCGACCATGCCCACAGGCTGTCTCATGCTAGATGGAAAAAACAAACCACAAAACAACAAATTCAAGTTTTCTTCTGTTGTTTGCCTTGCTTTGCTGAAGACAGAGCCGAGTTTTCCAAGGTGTTTATAACATCCAGGCCACCTGGACACGGTACTGAGCTCCCCCAWGCCTGGAGAAGCAATCCCTGTAATCCTTTGAGAATACCCAGCTCCTTCTCGTTTTCACTGCACACATGGCAGAAATTTAATGTTGAATGCTTGATGCAAAGTCAGGCCATGCACAGGACAGTGCTCTGCCTTTTCCTTGAAATTAGGCCTGTTCTGGCTGGAAAGACAGAGATGCTTAACCATCTAAGCATGGCCCACGTCTCCAGCCCGCGGTGAAACCTGAAGCTTGGCGTGTTTCATGTTGCTGCATGTTTCTTTTTATTCATGCAGCTCCATTCACAGGAGTTTCCCATGACTTAAGCTCTCTTACATGCAATTGTTAGGGCTGAA